TGGACTGAAGGGTCCCAGGTTCGATTCTGGCCAAGGGCACAGGCCTGGGTTGTGGGCTCAGTTCCCAGTAGGGGGTGTGCAGAGGCAGCCGATCCATGATTCTCTCTCATCATTGATGTTTCTATCTCTCTCTCTCCCTCTCCTTTCTTCTCTAAAATCAATAAAATATATTTTTAAAAATAAAGTGTGGAAATATTTCAAAATGGAAAGCTAAAATCGTCGCAATGTTTCCACTGGTGAACAAACCTGCCCTGAGCCCTCCCCCCGCAAACCCTCCCGCCCCCGCCCTGATCCTGACCAGGCACCTGCCTTTCCGTTTGGTTACTCCGGGACCCTCCCCTTACGGGTCCCCATGCTCCAGTCAAGAAAGGTTAATGCCAGGCACAGCAGGAGGCCCCATTCCCTGCCATTTTTTAAACTATATATTTTATTGATTTTTTTTTACAAAGAGGAAGAGAGAGGGATAGAGAGTTAGAAACATCTATGAGAGAGAATCATCTATCAGCTGCCTCTTGCATACCCCCTACTGGGGATGTGCCCGCAACCTAGGTACATGCCCTTGACCGGAATCGAACCAGAGACCCTTCAGCCTGTAGGCCGACGCTCCATCCACTGAGCCAAACCGGTTTTGGCTCCCTGCCATTTTAAAAAATATATATTTCACAGAGAGGGAGAGAGGGATACAGAGTCAGAAACATCAATGAGAGAGAAACATCGACCAGCTGCCTCCTGCACACCCCCCACTGGGAACGTGCCCGCAACCAAGGTACATGCCCTTGACCAGAATCGGACCAGGGACCTTTCAGTCCACAGGCTGACGCTCTAGCCACTGAGCCAAACCGAACCAGACTCCCTGCCATTTTTTAAGCGGGAAGGGTGCGGGGAGGGGCGCGTGTGTGCAAGTTGTTAAACATTGTGAATGTCCCCATCAGGCTAACTTTCCTCTGCTGGTTGCGCAAGAAAAGAGCCATCCTTGGCTGCAGAATGAGTCAGACTCCAAAAAGGGATCCTCCCTTGCTACCCCCCCACACACTCCTGGTGCCCCCCCCCCACACACACACACACACACGTCACCCCTCCTCTCATCAGCTGACACAGCTCCCTGGGCTCTGCACTCTTATGACGCGGACAAAAGATGCTGATTCAAACACTGTGGTTTCCGCCCGGGACCTCGCAAACGGCTCGCCGATCGCTGACGGGACATGACCGAGGTGCCCACCCTAGGGGACCCGGCCCATCCGGCAACAGAATACTATGCAACCCCCAAAAAGAACGAGGAAGTGGGGCCCCGATGGGGAAAGAACCCCGAGACGCGGCCCCAGGAGTGTGTAACGCTCCCAGCAAACAGGAAGCAAGCTGGCACCCCTCTTCCTCCCGCCCCCCCCCCTCCGCTCTGTCCCAATCACTCTCTCCGTCCAGTGTGTGCCTGTATTCGGTCTGCTTCCAGAAGCAGACATGGGCCCCGGCTGGTTTGGCTCAGTGGATAGAGCGGTGGCCTGCAAACTGAAGGGTCCAGGGTTCGATTCTGGTCAAGGGCACATGCCCGGGCTGCGGGCTCGATCCCCAGTGTGGGGCGTGCAGGAGGCAGCCGATCCATGATTGTCTCTCATCACTGATGTTTCTTTCTTTCTCTCTCTCTCTCTCTCCCTCTCCCTTCTGCTATGGAATTAATAAAAATGTATTTAAAAAGAAAAGAAAGCCCTAGCCGGTTTATCTCAGTGGATAGAGCATTGGCCTGCAGACTGAAGGGTCCCGGGTTCGATTCCGGTCAAGGGCATGTACCTTGGTTGTGGGCATATCCCCGGCGGGGGGTAAGGGGGGTGCAGGAGGCAGCTGATGGATGTTTCTCTCTCATCGATGTTTCTGATTCTATCCCACTCTCTTCCTCTCTGTAAAAAAATAAAAAATAAATCAATAAAATATATTTTTTTAAAAGAAAAGAAAGCAGCAGACAGAGGGCCCCTGGCAGTGCGGCGGTGCCAGGAGCGGGCAGTGGGGGCTGGCATCGGAAGGAAGCTGTTCACCAGATGTGCTGTCCTTCTCAGATACAGACCCCAAGCCGCCAGGGCATGCCCACCCCGCACGGCGGGCCTCATGCAGAATCCCGGCTCTCAGAGGAGCCCGCGGCTGCTTCCTCCCGGCACACACACTCACTCTCCTGGCGGGAAGTGGGGGTCTGCAGGCAGAGCGGAACCGGCCCGGGCAAAGCCACAGAACCAGACGCAGGGAGGGCGCTGGGCTCCCTGGTGGTCTGTGGCCGTGGGGGGCGGGGGCGTGAAACGTGGCTGATGCATCGAGGGCCTAGTGGCTGTGCCGTTTGGACTGAATGCGCCCGTGGTGCATGGCCGCTGTGTGGATCGGGGCAGGTGTGGGGCCGAGGCCTCCCAGCCGCCGGGCGCTGTCCTCAGCACTCACCCCAGCCATTCTCGCCCTAAAAACCGTCTCTAGGTCACAGCCACCCGAGGGCAAGGCGCTACCATGGCGCCCAGGCCCATGGCAAGAGCCCTTGTCAGGCTGAAACCGGTTTGGCTCAGTGGGTAGAGAGTCAGCCTGTGGACTGGAAGGTCCCAGGTTCGATTCCGGTCAAGGGCATGTACCTTGGTTGTGGGCACATCCCCAGAAGAGGGTGTGCAGGAGGCAGCTGATGGATGTTTCTAACTCTCTTTCTCTCCCTTCCTCTCTGTAAAAAAAAAAAAATCAATAAAATATATTTAAAAAAAAAAAAAAAAGGAAAGAGCCCCTGTTGGCTGTGTGGACAAAGGGCTGCAGAACAGAAGCTGAAGGAGAGGAGATGGGAGCCGTCCCCTGAGGTGAGGGCCAGGGGGGCTGGCACCGGGGCAGCGGTGTGCATGGACCGGGGGCGGGGTGAAGGAGGAGGCGCGGCTCTCCTTAGGGAAGACCCATCCTAAGCACCGAGCCAGCTCTGGTCTCCGCCCTTTCCACGTCCCATCTCATCTAATCCGCAGACAACCCCTGAGGGCGGCTGCTCTCGCCACACCCATCTCCCGGGTGAGAACACTGAGGCGGCCGAGAACCAAAGAGACTCGCATCCTCGCCCTTAGCAGGTGGCGGAGAGCTGCTGCGAGCTGGACCCCAGAGCCTTCCCCAAGAGGCCACCAGGCTTAACGCCGTGAGAGCACGGGGCGCCGATTCAGGGCAGGAAGCCACGCGGTGAGAGGCGGGGACTGCGCTACGCGCCAAAACACGGAAGGCTAGCGTGGCTGGGAGGTGGCCCAGAGGAGGCTGGAGACCCTCAGTTAACGAATCTGCATCTTATCCGGGGGCGATGGGGAGCCATGGATGGTCCTTGAGCCGCAGAGGGACTGGGTTAGCACTCAGTTTAGAAAGATGGCTCTGGCCCTGATCGGTGTGGCTCGGTGGATAGAGCATCTGCCTGTGGACTCAAGGGACCCGGGTTCGATTCCGGTCAAGGGCATGTACCTTGGTTGCAGGCATGTCCCCAGTAGGAGGTGTGCAAGAGGCAGCTGATGGATGTTTCTCTCTCATCAATGTTTCGAATGCTCTATCCCTCTCCCTTCCTCTCTAAAAGATCAATTATATATATATATAGCTCTAGCCACTGTCAGTAGCTGGGACCAGAGTGGGGGCTGGAGCAGGGACCCAGGCCCGTGAAGGTGGGAGCGCGGAAGAGGGGTGATGACCAGGAAGAGGAAGAGAAGCGGGCAGACTGAAGCTCTCAGAGAAGGCCGGCCTCGGCCTCTGTCCCGGAGCCCCCGGGGGTGTTTCTGGAAGGATCCGCCGTGAGCTGGCGTCCACGGGCGCCCCAGAGGGGCAGTGCCGGGCGCCGGAGGCTGTGAGGCGGGCAGGGAGCGTGGCCCTTCCCGCCACACCCTCGGGGCCTGGGGAGCCGCGCCAACAGAAGCAGAAGTCAAAGCCAGCTGGTCCCGGCCGGGTCCTGTCTGCAGGAGCGGGGCCAAAAGGTGAAGTGAGGGAGTGAAGCAACCCCGCTTCCCCTTCCCCCCCGTGAAGCAAGACGAGAGCCGAGCGCGCTGAGCACGGCAGGTGCCAAATCACGGCCCCGCTCCGACCGGGCACCGCTGGGCGCCGCCCCCTTGGACACACACAGGATCCGTGCAACGGCCCCCGGCTGCCACCACGGGCCCCCGGGGCTCCCGGTCAGACAAGGACGTCCCGATGCTCAAAGCGAAGGCAGCCCGGTGCTTTGCAGACAGACGCGCACGGAACGAGCCGGACAGGAACCCAGCCTGCAAGGCGCAGCCGAAGGCGCGGGAGAAACCCACACGGCACGGACCCCACAGCCCGTCCGAGCCGAGGCTGAGCCTCCCGCCCCAGGCCGGGCTCTGGACGGGAACCCGGTCTCCCTTCCTTGTTGCGAGTAAATACAACTGCCTTCCGCAACCACGTCTGGCTCAGGAGCAGGGTCCTCCCGCCTCCTGCCTCAGTTTCCCCGTCTCTACCATTCAGAACACCGAACGCCCAGGTCAGTCCCGTCACCCTCCCTCCCAAGCGGCTTTTTTTTAAAAAATATATATATATTTTTATTGATTTTGTACAGAGAGGAAGGGAGAGAGAGAGTTAGAAACATCGATGAGAGAGAGTCATCGATCAGCTGCCTCTTGCACACCCCTTACTGGGGATGTGGCCGCAACCGAGGTACATGCCCTTGACCGGAATCGAACCTGGGACCCTTCAGTCCCCAAGCCGACGCTCTATCCACTGAGCCAAACCGGTCTCGGCCGAAGCAGCTTTTGAGGAGGAAAGTCACGTACTTAGGAGACCCCCCGAGGCCCTGCCCTGGGGAATGTAAGGGCCCCAGCCCCAGGCCTCGCCCTGAGTCCTGGACAGTCTGGCTCCTTAGCGTGTCCCAGGCCAGGCGTGTGCCAGGCCAGGGGAGAAGGGGAGAAATGGGTGGCAGGGCAGCAGGGGGATTGGGGTGGGGGTCAGGGAGATGGAGGGGCGTCGGGGGTACCAGGAAGAGAGAGCAGAGGTCCCGGCACCCACACCCGTTCTAGACTCACCATGTTCGTCTCCCTGGCTCTCCGCGGGGCCAGGGCCCTCCCCCGTGGTCTGTGGTTTTTATGGCCCCACGGGAGGCGCAGAGAGGCAGGAAGGAAATGACCCGTCCCTCTGCCCCGAGGTCCTCATTGGTCTGCAGCCCAGGTACCTGGGCCGGCTGGGCGCATGTGGGGCAGCGAGGGGACCAGAGGTCAGGGCTCCGGGCGCTGAGGAAGTCCCCTCCTGCCCAGGCCAGCGGGGAGAGGGGCCTGCCCGGTGACACTGGGCCCCCGCTCTGAGCTGGGGTTCCCCATTTGAGACCATCTCTCGATCTCCCTCTCCTTCTAGGGCCCCTTCGCCAAGAAGCCTCGGAGTCCAGGCTGCCTGGCCGCCCTGAGGCCGGGCAGCAGGCAGAGAGCCCCGCCTCCCCAGCAGGTTGCTGGGAGCCCAGATGTCACCGGACCATCGGTGGGTCCCGGCTGCCGGTCACTGCTGGAGCCGATTCGGCAGGGACAGGGTGGAACACAGAGGAGCGTTTATTCCAGTCCCGCCGGCAGCATGGGGGAGCAGCAGGTCACCCACAGACATCTGCTCCGCAGCCCCCCATAAGCCAGCTGCTCCCACTGGGCAGAAGGATGAAGATTACTTGGAGAAGTCGGCAAAAGGGATAAGAATGGCCGAAACCAGTTTGGTTCAGTGGATAGAGTGTCGGCCTGCGGACTGAAGGGTCCCGGGTTCGATTCCGGTCAAGGGCATGTACCTTGGTTGCGGGCACATCCCCAGTAGGGGGTGTGCAGGAGGCAGCTGATCAATATTTCTAATTTTCTATCCCTCTCCCTTCCTCTCTGTAAAAAATCAATAAAAAATATATTTTTTTTAAAAGGGGGATAAGAGTGGGAGTATGCAAAATGGGAACTTCCAGGTAATACTGGCTCAGGGTTGGCTCCAGGCTGGTGGCATGCAAAGTGGGTGTGCCCCTCGTTTCTGCAAAAAGGTTGTTACTCTTTCCAGGATAATTGGCAGCTCCGGAATGTGCCTTCTCTAATGAGAACAAAACAATTCAAGTTCACAGGGCATGATTTTTTTTTTTTTAAATTATTGGAGAGAGAGAGAGAGGGAGAGAGAGAGAGAGAGAGAGAGAGAGGGAGGGAGAGGGGGAGAGAAAGAGACATCTATTTGTTTTTTGTTTGTTAATCCTCACCAGAGGAGATTGTTCCATTGATTTTTAGAGAGTGGAAAGGAGGGGGAGAGGCAGGGAGACAAACACTGGTGTGAGACACATCGATTGATCGCCTCCCACAAGCAGCTGGGGGTCGAGCCTGCAACCAGAGCACGTGGCCCTGACTGGAATCCAGCCTGGGACCCTTCAGTCAGCAGGCTAATGCTCTATCTACTGAGCCAAACCAACTAGGGCAACAGAGCATGGTTAATATTTCTTACTAGAGTCTCAGTGCACAAATTCATGCACCAGAAGGGTCCCTCGGTGGGATCGGGCCAAAACAAGCTCTCTGACGTCCCCTGAGGGGTCCCAGATTGCCAGAGGGCACAGGCCAGGCCGAGGGACCCCATCGGTGCACCATCGGAGCCAGGGAAGGACCAGGGAGATTGGCCAGCTAGGGAGAGACGGTGGGAGGGCTCCAGGGTATATCTGGTTTCCCTCAGTCCCAATCAGCCAGATCCCAGAAGGAAGCTAACCAACCAATCAGAGCATCTGCCCCCTGGTGGTCAGTGCACATCATAGCAAGCAGTTGAGCATCTTTAGCATATCATTAGCATATTATACTTGATTGGTTGAACGGCCAACCGGATGACAGGATGCTTCGAATATTAGTTTTTATTATATAGGCTAATTATAACTGGTCTCCAATATTCTATTTCTACCCCTAACATTTCCCCACTGCTATGTCTTTTTTTTTTTAATTTAAATATATTTTATTGATTTTTTTACAGAGAGGAAGGGAGAGGGAGAGAGAGCTAGAAACATTGATGAGAGAAACATCGACCAGTTGTCTCCTGCACATCCTCCACCGGAGTTGTGCCCACAACCAAGGTACATGCCCTTGACCGGAATTGAACCTGGGACCTTTCAGTCCGCAGGCCTATCCACTGAGCTCTATCCACTGAGCCACACCGGTTAGGGCTCCCCACTGCTATTTCTATCATCTCGTCGCTATGAGATTAGTTCCAGATGAAAAGTCTCACCCTGCTGCACTGCCTCTGCTCCTACCTCGAAAGCAGCTCTTGGGGATGGAACCCAGCAAATGCAGGATCTAAAAAGAGGGAGCCGAAGCCGGTTTGGCTCAGTGGATAGAGCATTGGCCTGCGGACTCAAGGGTCCTGGGTTCGATTCTGGTCAAGGGCAGGTACCTTGGTTGCGGGTGTCCCCCCAGTAGGAGGCAGCTGTGCAGAAGGCAGCTGATCGATGACTCTCACCGATGTTTCTAACTCTCTCCCTTCCTCTCTGTAAAAAATCAATAAAATATATTTTGTTAAAAATAAAATAAATCAGCCGAAACCGGTTTGGCTCAGTGGTAGAGCGTCGGTCTGCGGACTGGAGGGTCCCGGGTTCGATTCCGGTCAGGGGCATGTACGTTGGTTGCGGGCACATCCCCGGTAGGGGGTGTGCAAGAGGCAGCTGGTCGATGTTTCTCTCTCATCGACATTTCTAGCTCTCTGTCTCTCTCCCTTCCTCTCTGTAAAAAATCAATAAAAATATTTTTTAAAAATAAAATAAATCAAATAAAAAGTGGGAGACATCCAATACAGCAGCAAGCTATCAGACTACAAAAATAAAAATAAAAATAATAAACAGGAGAAAACCTACAAGGAATTCCCGCAACCCAGACAGGTTGGGTAGCCAGGAAGTTAGGTCGGATACGTCAAATCCAAAACACCCTCCCCATTGTTTTACCTTGGAAATGGTCTTCCCGGTGTGATGAACGTTGTTTTCTATCCACTGCGGACTGTCAGGGAGATTCAAGTCGCACATTCCTTTCCGTTCCTCGCAGCTGCCATAAAGCCACAAAACAGGTCACCCATTGCGGCCTGATTCTCTATCACCGCCTCCCGGGCCGGGCTCAGCTCTCGATGGATCCGTCCACGGCTCTGGAACTGGCATTCAGGGCTCCTGCCAGGCTACACGCCAGCCGGGTCACGTCTCCCTTAAGGGAGCCTTCTGGGGAGCGGCTACAGCGTTTGGACAGGTTCAAGCCCCGGACCCAGGGCCGGCAAACCACAGCTGGCGAGCCACAGGCGGCTCTTTGGCCTCTTGAGTGTGGCTCTTCCACAAAAGGCCACAGCCCCGGGCGAGTCTGTGTTGAAGAAGTGGCGTTAGAAGAAGTTTACGTGTAAAAAATGTGGCTCGCTCTCCAAAGAAATGTCAATCGTCGTCCTGTTGCTATGTGGCTCTGTGGACTGATGAGTTTGCCGGCCACTGCCTCGGACGGAGGAGAGGGCACAGCCCTCCCGTGGCCACGTGCGAGCCCCAGCGTGGAGGGCAGGGCCCACAGCACAACGACAGCCAGCAGCTGCAGTTGTCAGCTGGAACACGTGGCCCCACCTGCCTCAGTGATAGGGCTGCAAGTACACAAAGCTGGATCGGGTGCATGTAATTGCGTAGGATCGAAACCCACGAGAATGTTCTAACCATCTTGACCACGTCCTTCCTTTGCCTCGTGGCACCTGCTATAAAATACAGACACGGGCCGAAACCGGTGTGGCTCAGTGGATAGAGCGTCGGCCTGCGGACTGAAAGGTCCCGGGTTCGATTCCGGTCAAGGGCATGGACCTTGGTTGTGGGCACATTTGGAAAACTATGTTTAGACATAAATAATTGTCACCAAAAACCTTCATCATAAACCCTTCCTTTTAGTAAATGTATCTATTTATCCTGTCTTAACAACTTTGAGATTTTTAAAAAATATATTTGTATTGATTTTTTACAGAGAGGAAGGGAGAGGAATAGAGTTAGAAACATTGATGAGAGAGAAACATCAATCAGCTGCTTCCTGCACGCCCCCTACTGGGGATGTGCCCGCAACCAAGGTACCTGGCCTTGACCCACATTGAACCTGGGACCCTTCAGTCCACAGGACAACGCTCTATCCACTGGGCCAAACCTGTCAAGACAGTGGTCAGCAAACTGTGGCTCCCGAGCCACATTCAATTCTTTAGCCCCTTGAGTGTGGCTCTTTCACAAAATGCCACAGCCTGGGCGAGTCTATTTGGAGAAAGTGGTGTTAGAAGAAGTTTAAGTTTAAAAAATTGGGCTCTCAAAAGAAATTTCAATTGTTGTACTGTTCATATTTGGCGCTGGTGACTAATGAGTTTGCTGACCACTGAGTTAGGGCAACTTTGAGATTTTAAAGCCAATTTTTATTACCCAAGGCATTTTCTCGGCAACTCACGGGCCTCCACTGTCTTTAATGTGAAAGTAGTTCTTTGTTTTTCCTTTAAAAAGTGGGAGTGGCCAGGACCGGTTTGGCTCAATGGATAGAGAGTTGGCTTGGGGACTGAAAAGTCCAGGGTTCGATTCTGGTCAAGGGCATGTACCTTGGTTGCGGGCATATCCCCAGTAGGGGGTGTGCAAGAGGCAGCTGATTGATGACTCTCTCTCATCGATGTTTCTAACTCTCTATCTCTCTCCCTTCCTCTCTGTACAAAATCAATAAAATATATTTAAAAAAAAAAAAAAAAAGCGGGAGTGGCCCCCACTGCTGCGTCTGCAGCCTGCTGGGGGCCTCTGCAGATCTGGTCCTCCTCGGAGAAAGACTTGGGAGCGTTAGGAGTTTTACTTCCGTACTTTTCTTTCTGGGTGGACTGTGACAATATGAAAACTTGCGAATAAGAAGAGACCTTAGAAACAGAAACAAACAGAAAGCCCTACAGTAAGTGGAAAAGTCTCTCAAACGGCTGGACTGGACATTCGCCTTAGACTCTCGTCTCACACTGAGCCAGCCCAGCAAATGGCCTTTGTTTCTGAGTGGTGCCAAGCCCAAACAGCAGAGACAGAGGGTCCCCATGGACC